CTGCCAGCGGCACTGCGCGGGGTGACTGCGGCAGCCACACGCCGAGTCTGTCAGCCTGGTGTTTCCGGGGTGCAGAAGCAGTAGGAAGGCTGCTGTAAAAAAGAAACTCGAGAAAACGGCCCTTTTAGGTTATTTTACTGTGTATAAAAGGGCAAGGCAAAGCACTATCACAGTTTTCAAAAAATCATCCTGCACCTCCTGTAGCATATGCCCTTTGTCCCCACGGGCGATGGCCTGATGTTTCCATCTGGCTCTGAAACCCTCCTAACACTTTCTGGGCTGTAACAGAGCACTGTCTGGAGCTGAGGGGACACTGCTCGCTCTCACTGGGGCGCCTGTGGTGTTAGGTTTGAAGCCCATGTGCTAGCAGGAGGTGCTTCTCTCGGGACGCTGTGTGACACTGTGGTTTGCCTGGCAGAGCTGGTGTGGCCAGAGTCCGTGCCCTGTCTTGACAGGCCTCTGTCCCCGCTGAAGTTTTATCGAGAGTGGGTGAGTCCGAATAAACCTTGTATAATTCGCAATGCTATCAGCCACTGGCCAGCTCTGAAGAAATGGACCTTAGCATACCTCAGGTACGAATGAACTTTGGAGCAGGACTGGTGGTCAATTTCGGTTGACCTCACTAAAAAACACTTGGTTAATCTTTTATCTGTAAGATTACCTCAGATTCCTGCCTGCTTCTGTATGAAGGTGTTCATTCTTCCCAAGATCAGGTGTACATTTTTTCCTTGCAAATATTCTGCCCTACCAGTTCTGATGCAGCAGGAGGGTGGGTGTTTTGTCTGTGTGTAGCCAGCAGACTCAGGGCATTGAAACCCAGTCCACTGGAGGGGTCTGTAGTGCTGCAAGAGCAGACTGACTTGTTTGTGGCTGTTTGTGGCTCTTGGGGTGGCTGAGGTTAAACCATGACACTGAGCACACCTTGGGTTTTCTTCAGAAAAATGAAATGATGTGCATTTTAACAATGCATGTTTAAAGAAAAGTCCGTCTTTAAAAGGGGATTTATGGTTAGACCTAAAATCTGTGGGTTGTGTGGGTTTAAAGCTAAATTTCTGTAGGAACTAAAGCCTTTTAGCCTCATGATGTGTGTATCTGTCAGTGTCTGTCCACCCCTTCTCCCTGCTCAGTTGCTTTTGAATGTGTGGCCCTCTGGATTTGGTTAGGTTGAGTGGCCTCAAGAATATCAGGCTCTTGCTATGATTCATGAAAAGAAGTGGCTGAAGAGACCCCTCGTCCTGCACGGAGGAAAAGGAGCTCCTTTGTGAACTTGCCTATTAGGAGAGAATTCAGAGGCAAAAGCTTGCTTTGAAGGTAAAGGATACTATAGTTGCCTTGACCAGAGGGAGCAATTGGAGCAGAATACCACAGTCCTTAACAGACAGTAGAAAATCTAGAGAGTATAACTAACCTTTCCATCCATACAAAGACAAGCTTCTTGCTTTTGCTGCCCATGAAAGTTGTTTTTAAAATAACCAGTGTCCAATACATGGGCCAATTGCAGGCCTGGCTATAAATCTTTGATTTATTTTGCAGGGAGGTAGTAGGCTCCAAGGTAGTGAGTGTGGCAGTAACACCAAATGGTTATGCGGATGCAGTGTTTCAGGACCGTTTTGTCATGCCAGAGGAGCGCCAGATGCCTTTCATGGACTTTTTGGACATTGTGGAGAAGAAAGTGACCTCTCCCAATGTATTCTACGTGCAGAAGCAGTGTTCAAACCTCACCGAGGAGTTCCCTGAACTTGTCTGTGATGTGCAGCCTGACATACCATGGATGAGTGAGGCACTTGGTAAACCCTCTATTTCTGCTTTATTCAGTAGATATTTTGTATGGAGCTTTAAAACAATTACACTAGGTACATGGTGAATACTTGTTCTCTTTCTGAATGTCACAGCTCAGGTTGGTTTCATCCTCTTAGGAAGTTGAAGTGGTGAAATACTTCATAGTGTAATCAAAGTTTTGGGGTTGGATTACTGTGGAATCACTATCTGTTGTGTATTGGGACCGTAACAATTGAAACAATGTGGTGATATTGCCATATAGCACTTTACATCTAGTGGCTTTTCTATGATTTAGTCATGTTTTGGCTCAAATTCACACTGTTGCTACCAAAGGTAGCATGGCAAACAATGCACAGCCCCCACCCCCTTTGGTAAAAGTACAGATGTTTGTTTCTAGATAAAAGCTGTTCTGTGTCAGTTGGTTTCTGTTTTACAGCATGTCTTTCCTTAAAATGTTTTACTGTGATCTCACCTCTTTTGCAACTGTATGTAGACGTGCAGCAATTTCTGTATCAGCTAAGTTACACGGATTCAGAATGTAGAAACAAAGGGTTGTAACCATCAGTTTGGGGACAGATAGCATGAAGTCTGATGGGCTGAAACCACTGCATTGGTTTCCAGTGCAGGAGGAGGTTGCTGTTGTTAACAGAATACTATTGGCAATGAAACATGTCATAATTATGAAGGAAATTAAAGGACAGAATTTGGCAGAAAATTGATAGACTTTTAAACATGACACAATTTTTAAACATTTTTTTCGGTTGACAACATTTCTCTATTCCCTAACCATACAGGGAAGAAGCCTGATGCTGTGAATTTCTGGCTTGGGGAATCAGCTGCTGTGACATCTTGTATGTATCCTATGGCACTACAAGTCCTTGGTGTGTTTTCAGCATAGGTTTAAGTTAGCTTGCTTTGAGTTAGTAGCTCAGCAGGATTGTTTGGTTTTTCTGACAAGGCAGTTGTATTTTTACATGCTTTTTTTGCAAGGCACTGACAATTTGCTTCATTGAATGCATTGCCCTACAACATGATATTGTTACTTTCCTCTCTCACTGGCCACAACAGGAGGAAACAGCCTGGTAATAATAGGACAAGCTGACACTTTACTTACTATAGTTTCTAGTGCAGAGAAGGAAATGACACTGATTTTCTTTTGTTCTTTCTCCACATTTCTTTTTTAATTTTTTTTTCTCAATCCTAGTACATAAAGATCATTATGAGAACTTGTACTGTGTGGTATCTGGAGAGAAACATTTTCTGCTGCATCCACCAAGTGACCGTCCCTTCATCCCATACGGTACAACATTTGACTCTGCAATATATCTGAAGGTTGGAAGGAGGAGAGACCAAAATGTTGAAAGATATGAAAAAAAAAGGAAGTAGAGAAAACATGTTGATATTTATGCAGTGTTTTGCTTTCCAGTGTGAGCAGAAATCTCTTCTATTTCGTGCTGCAGGTAGTTTGTAATACATGTTATTCTGAGATCAGATTTTCCAGTCCAGTAAAGTAATAGGTTCATTGATACTCATGTCAGTTTCTGCAACTTTACAATATTTAAATCATTTAAGTTTCTCGTCAGTACTGCGGCACGTCGCGTGACAGTATCTGAAGCAGTTGACGAGCCCTATCGATGACGATTAGAAGTGAAAAGCTGGCCACAAGTCACTAATAACTCTTGTGAGTGCTATCTTGCTAGACTGACCTAAGAAGAAATGCCTGAATATAGAATGATGTGTAAATCAGGGATGCATTTATGACTTCTGAAATGGAAAGAAGACAATTACTGGAACACAATAGGACTGGGAGTCAAATGGGCTTTAAGGAGAATAATTTCTGTGAAGAAGATTGGAATTCCAAACAGGAGGGCAGCTTAGTATTCAAACTGACTTACAAATTATTAAGAAACTGGATAAAGTTTTAAATGGGCAAAGGAAAGGATAATGAGGACAGTAAGTTGAAAATAATTCTGTCATAATTTTTCTTTTACTTGGTGAAAGTGTGACATGCCCTGCCATTAGTTTCTCTGAGTTGTCATTTAATTCTTTCTGTGGTTCCAGAACTCTATCAGCCAGCAACCTACCAGGTATCAGAAGATGGCTCATTTGAAGTTGTGGATGAGAAGACTGCTGATAAGGTAAAAATCTCACAGTAGAGTGAGATTTAAACACTTCTGAGCCCTCAAACTGAGCATATTGAATCAGAGAATCATCAAGGTTGGAAGAGAATCAAGTCCAACTGTCAGCTTGTCACTCTGCTGTAACCCCTAAACATATCTTCCAGTGCTGGATCCAGACACCTCTTCTAGGGATGGTGACTCCACCACCTCTCTGAGCAACCTATTCCAATGCCTGAATTGATTTATGTTTAGAAATCCATCATTGCTGGAAAGAGAATTCCAAGATTTATTTAAATATTTGCAAAGGGTGCCCAGCTTCCAGAAAAGGCTTTTACTGCACACCTGAAACAACTGATATCATAAATTCTGTTCCTTGCACCAAACTTCTCCAGTAAAGAATTTTTAATGCATCATCAATAAAGGAACCAATTGCATTTAGACTGAAATAGACCCCTCTGCATTCACTTTGTTTTGGCCCTCTCCTCGGAGCTAGATTTTGCTCTCTAACGGTATCACACAGTGCAATAAAATACATCTGTCTCAATGAAAAAATTGTGTTTTGTTAGTAGTAGCAATATTTATTTAATTAAAATGTATAGACCAAAAGCACTTTACAGAGCCTCAGTAGACTTTTGTATCTAATCTCTTACCTTTTGCCTCTGCAATGTTTGAGTAATGCTACAGCAGAACTTGAGCTGGGGCTTTTTCTCAGTTTCCAGTGTGTGCTCATGGATTCTCATGCCTGTAATGCAGTAAAGTGGAGTACTGAGGTTTATAATTCTGTAGGGCATAAAAGAAATGAATGCAGGCAAGAGAGATTTCCTTGCAAGAAGGGATGTTTTAGCTGCTGGGAATAAAAATTAGACCAGAGGGCTTAAGAAGAAGAAAGGAATTTCTAAAAAGTGGTGCAGATAAAGTATTCAAGTACTGAATGTAGGAGGAACAAGTGACTTAAGGGGTTGGAGGTGTTTTGAAATTGTGCCATGAGAGCGAAATTTCATGGATGACATTTATCGCCTTTTTCCTAATTGGAAATGCGTCACTGAAGGAGGCAATTTTTTGCATCCTTGACCTATTCCCAATTGAATGTGGAAAGCTGTGTAGCTGTTCATGTTTTTCTAGACAAAGTACATGTTTTGTAACCTAGTGAGTTTGATTTTCAGTTGTTTTTCTGGAAGCTTGCTGGAAATTTTTGCTAGGGTCAGTACCATATACATACTCTTTTGCCTTTAGGTGCCCTGGATCCCTCTGGACCCATGTAATCCGGATCTGGAGCTGTATCCAGAGTATGCTCAGGCAAAACCTTTGCAGTGTACAGTGAAAGCTGGTGAGATGTTATACCTGCCTTCTCTCTGGTTCCATCATGTTCAGCAATCACATGGCTGCATAGCAGGTAAAATACACAGTATTTCCAGATACATAATTGAACTGTGGTGGGTGTGCAGCTAGATATCCCACAGCAAAGTATCAGTGGACTGAAAGGTCCCTTTCAGGTTGTCTGCCTCTCTGCAGGAGAGTAACAATCTTGGCAGATCCCATGGGGCTGCTTCCTTGCAGCCTGTTTTGCTTACAATTCATAGCTTGGTTGACAAGTACTTGAGATGTAGCAGAAGGCAAAGCCTTTCTAGGTGTCAAGTCTGGGGAAGGATAGCTAATGCAGACATCATGATCCAGTTCCTGTTTAAAACATGGAGCTAAGCAGTTTGTCTAGCTAGCCTGGTAACTGCAACTGGTCATCTACATACCTCTGTCAAAGAAATTGCATATTGCATGTGCTGTTACCACATAGCAACAAAGGATATGGGTGAAGAAAAGGAAACTAGAAAGTGAATGAGTTCTAGGCATGGATGTAGACACACCGTGGAAGATACTCTGTTATCATGTGAGCTGTAATCTGCTCTGACCCAGTGTCTTACCTTGCTGAGCCTGTGTTTGTGTTACTGTTCCCTTGCACTTATCAAAAGTCCTGTCATCTCTGTCTTGTCTTCATCTCTTTCCCCAAGAGAGTTCCAGAATTTCAAGCATTGCTCATTTAGTGCAGGTGGAAGGGTAGGGATGGTGCAAAGCATTGTTGTTATGTTGTGCAAATTCTGCAAGGTTTGAGGAAGACGTCTTTGCGTCCTTTACTTGGAATAATCCTGTCTGTCAATTAAAAAGTATTTTGAACAGCATAACATTAGTATTTGTGTAACACTGCAAATATTGTAAGCCTTTGTTTCAAGTATTTGTGATGCTGTGATAAAAGGACAAGCTATAACAGTAAAGCAGTATTTGATTCCCTTTTCCCAGTGCTGCTGCATCAGTCCTTAAGGATTTTTTTAGAAAAAGTAGAGTTGTTTCCAGCTGCAAGCCCATGGCCACTCTTTTCTCCTCTGTTGAACAGAAATGCAAAAGAGTTAATGAGTTTATTTGGCCTTTAGTCTGTTAACTGCAGTACAGTCTGTATACATTTGAAAAATCAATATTCTCTGGGTCTGGTCCAGTGATGTCTGAAACTAGAGCGTATCCTCCTCCCAGAAGCATTTCAGTGTTACAGTGCTTGGCTTAATTTTTCTAGGAGGCATACATGAGAATTAACACTAGAAGCAGAATTAAAGCACTGTCTAATTGATGAGCATTGTGAAGTAGTGGTGCGTTTGCCATCCTTTACACAGGAAGAGTGGTTCCTATCCAGATACTAAGCATTGCAGTTTGATATTTTTTCTCTAAATAGAGGCATACATTTTCTATTCCTAAACATTTTGCCATCTTCTTCTCTAAGGAATCTCCAGTATAGGGTCTGAAGAGGATTTGGTTTGGGTTAAGGCAGAGTTGCATTGGCAGCACTATTAAAGAACTCTGTTGTTGGCTTATGTTATTTTTGGCTGTAGTCAAAGATTTGCTCATTTCAAAGTTCAGTTAGTAATAAGGAAAAGCCTGTACTAACTGAACTGCGAAAAACAGTCTGTGAACATATTTGTAAATCATTACATTCTAACCTTAGAAATGTTTTTCCTTTTTCTTGTCTCCTCAGTGAATTATTGGTATGACATGGAATATGACCTTAAGTACAGCTATTATCAACTACTAGATTGTCTCACAAAAACTGTGAAAATGCTATAGCAGAGGTGGGAGGCTCAAACTTGCGGTACCAACATCAGCATGTGACTGAAGTACGAACATGTTTCATGCAAAAGGAACTGCCTGCCATCGAGCACCTGCCAAACAGATCATGGCAATTTTGCATGCTTTCAGAGTCCAGATCAGTTGGCCAGATTTTTTGACTTGTAAGTAGGTTTAATAAATAGCATTGTTAGACCTTTGCATGTTGCCTCAGTGATGGTGAGTAAAATAAAATTCGAAGGGAGACAATCCAGGTCTTGAAAATCCCAAAACAGAAGCCCTGAGTGTTCGGACCTACAGGTTGTTCTCATAACAACCCAAGTGGAAAAGGAAGGATCTGCTCTGTCACCCACCTGTGCATCAGGCTGCATCAGTCCAACTCATGCACTCTGCTTAAGGCAAAAGTCCTATCCAGTTGTAATTGACCAAGTTCAGTGGCTGTGGTGTTTTGATGGGTGAGAAACTACAACTTCTGCAATAAATAGGTTAGTTTAAATAATAGAAGGCTATTACATACACAAACATTGCAAAAATGTAATATTGTTGTTTATGAAAGCCAAAAGCTGGTGTTATCCTCTAATATTCAAACAGTTTCTTAGAAATGTTAGTAATATGGGGAGAAATTATTTTCCATGTATCAGTTATCAAAATACACATATCCTTTAGACAAGATTGGTTATTGTGAAGAAAAATACTTCGCTCTGTTTACTCTGTTTCTTTGGGTTTGTCTATCTCTGTTTCTTTGGGTTTGTTTTTTTTTTTAGAAACAAAGTTTCTCTGTTTCTTTTTTTATTCTGTTTCTTTGGGTTTTTAAGAAACAAAGTTACAGCACAAAGTTTCATTTTACCTTGCGATGCCTGTCAAAAAATTCATGAAAGCTCGGGAAGGATTAAGGGCAGGCTTTGTTTCACAGCTAGATTAATCACCTTACTTCAGGCTTTCCGGCTTCTTTGTGTTTTTTACAGCGCCTGGAAAAACCACAAAAGCCACTCCTGCAGCCAGATCTGGAATTTCCAGAAGTTGGGGGGAAAGGCAATTTGCATTTCTTTTTGATACTCTGAGGTGTTTGGTTTAGACTCTCAAATCAAAAGTAAAATCACACGCCAAGAATGACTGAAAACTTGTGCCTGTGGCCGTGGCTGGCGCCGCTCCGTGCCGCGGGTCTGGAGGGAGGTGTGCTCCGCACTACGGCTCCCGGAAGCCCGTGCTGGGCGGCTGAAGGAAGTGGTCACGGTGGCGCCCGCTGGACTTTGGCAGAGATTTTAAGCCCGAGGGGCTGGGGCTGGTGGTGTTGGCCGCAGTTTCCCGCGGTCCGTGTCTCTCCCAGAGACTGGTGCTGTGCTGGGATGGCGGTGCAGGTGTCGGTTCTGCCTTCCCCCCGCTGTCTGTTCGATGAGCCCGTGCAGATCCGCGTCGCGGGGCTCCGGCCGCGGCAGGCGGGCACCCTCCGAGCCAGCCTGGTGGATGAGAGCGGGGAGCTTTTCCAAGCCCACGCTCACTACAGAGCTGGGAGCAACGGAGAGCTGGACCTCAGCTGCTCCCCGGCGCTGGGAGGCAGCTATGTGGGAGTGGAGCCGATGGGGCTGCTCTGGGCTCTGCAGTCCAAAACGCCCTATAAGCGCCTGGCAAAGAGGAACGTCCTGACCCCTTTCTGTGTGGACTTGGAAGTGTATGAGGGCCACGGGGACATGAGCCACTTGCTGGGAAAATGCACCAATGAACGGTGGTTTTTAGGAGAGGGGGTGAAGAGAATTTCAGTCAGAGAAGGTCGCCTGAAAGCAACCCTCTTCCTCCCTCCTGGTGAGTTTCAATTCCATTCTGGTTTTCCAGGTGTGGCTTACACCATGTGTTGTGCCTCGTGGCCCCATGCACTCAGCAGCCCAGAGCAAAGCCTCAGCTAATGCTTCCCTCAGCCTGTGCGTGGTCCAGGTATCTGGATGCTCACAGACAGCAGAACAGGGAGGAGCAGGTGTTGCCCAGGCAGGTTAGGGGCTAAGGCAGGGCTGTGGTGGTGCAGGGAGGGCAGCAGTGGCAACACAAGATGTCTTCAGGTTGTTCTAGTTGAGGCAGGTCAGGACCTCTGCTGTGGTGAGAGCTCTGGCAAGAAGTGTATTTATTTATTAGCCCTTATGTTTAAGGACTGGTTTTCATCAGAGCTGTGATGCATGGCAGCTCTGGCCATGGAGTGAAGAATGACAAGGTGTGGTGGGAGCACTGGACTCAGACTACAGAAAAAAGACTGCAGACTGAAGCAGTAGACTGCACCAAAAGCTGTCACAGCTTCTAGAGCTTCCTGCAGGCTCTGGACTTGTCTCTCTGTCTCTTCAGCTAAGGAAAGAAGTCTCTACCTGGTTGAGCAGCTTGACTGCATGGGATACTTAGGAAGATATGAGACAGGTGGGAAAAGTGAGGTCTTTAATTAAACAGGTGCCATATTCCACAGCTTCATACAGAGACAGTGCTGAGACTGGATCCTGTGCAAAGTTGCTCTGTGCCCTGAAGTGTTACTGTTCCTTGAGTGGAACTTAAACATGGCTATCTTTCACTGTGGTTAATAAACAGTCCTTTGTAGCTTCTGTGCCACCAAATCTTGTAAAGGAAGTCTGGCTATAAGAATGGATGGAGCAATGTGGGGAAGGAAGGTCCTATGGCTGCAAGAGGAGAGCTGAGGAGCCCAGGGGTAGTTACCCAGATCATACTGAAGCCAGAATTGGCATAGGTCAGTGCTGGTGTTTTTGAGTGTATTTCTTAGCCCAAGTATTCTCTCCCTGGCAAACCTGCTGGCACAGTTCCTAAAAAAGTGCCACTCATGGAGCAATACTGTTTGTTCATTGATCCCAAATGGCCTGAGAACTACTAGGCCAATGTCAGCTGAAATTCATGATGGGAGAAGGATGTCGAGTATGTGACCTTTCTATAATGAGTTCCTGAGAGAGAGAAGAAATATCCAAATTTGTGTTCTTTGATTGATTTTGTGTGTGCCTGAGAACAATGCCCACCATGGAAAGCTTCAGAGGATGAGTTTCCTTTGATATCTAGAGAGTCCTGGTGTGTGCTGAGGGGCACCACTGAAAGGACAACTGTAGGAACTTTTCTCTCTGCTTATATGCACACACACCTTTCATTGCAGGACCTGGTCCATTCCCTGCACTTATCGATTTGTATGGATCTGGAGGAGGTCTTGTTGAATACAGAGCAAGTCTCTTGGCCAGCAGAGGCTTTATTACTCTGGCAGTTGCTTACATGGCCTTTGAAGATATCCCTCCTATGCCAGAGACACTTGAACTGAGCTATTTTAAGGAAGCTGTGAACTTTTTGCAGAAGCAGCAACAGGTAGGAGCAAATTATGGTTCTCTTCATGTTGGAAACTATTTTTCAATTTTCTGATTATAGTACTGTATGTCACTGAATGCAGCCAAGGTTCTGAGATGTAAGAAGGAGACAACATTGCCTGAAAGACAGCATGATCTTGAGAGATGGAAAAGCATGTGCTTCAACTTGAATTTTGCAAGTAGTTGGATAGCTGGTTTTGCATAGCATCTTGTAACAGTCCATACTGTGTTGGCAAAACAGATTTGTGAAAGATTAAATAAAAGCAGTTATTGGGCTAGAATTACAAAGCTGCTTAAGCAGGAAATCTTCATTTTTCCCTACTTTTGCATCTTTTAAGATTTGAAAGGGAAAAAAATCAATGGATTTTTTTCCCCCTACTATTTCTGAGATATTAAAGGCTTTTGATTCTGAGTAAGTTTCACAAGACAGTAATGGGAATTTAATGGAACGCAACTTAGTGGTATTCATTTCACAAAGTTAAAAAGCACACAGATGCCAGGATTGTAGTTAGTGTGAGGCTAGAATTCAGCCCTGCTTGTTTGTCTTGTTCTTCACAGAGCTCTGAAACAGTGTGAAAAGCCTTCACTGTAAATAAGTTGATTTGAAGAGCTATTGGGCTCACTGAGCCTCAAGTGGAATGAATCTTGTGTCTTCCAAGACAAAACAGAAAATAACAAGTCAGCTGTTGGAGAGTATAAAAAATGGCAATAAAGAAATTCAGTGCAAGTAAACCCATGAAAAAGTGGTTTGGTGACAGGAGCAATAAAAGGTACCATACTGAGAGCAGGTGTCTAGCCAGGTGGAGGGAGCAAAGAGACTTGTCTGTAGAGGTCAGCAGGAGGGAAAAGTGTTACAGGAGGAGAAATGTTGAGGAGCTGCAGAATTAATAGCCACTCTCGTGGTGGCTCAGCAAAGGGATAGATGAGGGAGTAATATCTGAACAGAGAGTAGGAAGAGGCAAAATATGGGTGGTCTTAGTTGGGTGAGGAAGCAGTACTGCAGGTGTTATGTCAGCCCAGGAAATAGGGAGTTGATAATGTTTTTTTCATAACTCTGTTTCAGGTGAAAGACACTGGGATTGGTATTTTGGGCTTGTCTAAAGGAGCTGAGCTAGCCCTTTCCATAGCCACATTTCTACCTGAAATCAAGGCAGCTGTCAGCATATCTGGAAGTTGTTTTAATTCCTTCGTTCCCCTGAAGGGAGATGGCTTCACAATTCCTCCTCACCCATATGATTTGGGGAGGATGAAGATCAGTGATGAGTCTGGCCTAGTCGATTTTTCAGATGTCTTAGACGATCACAGGGACCCAGCTACTTGGGATTGTCGCATTCCTGTGGAGAAGTCCTTAGCCAAGTTCCTGTTCCTATCTGGACTGGATGACGCAAACTGGAAAAGTGACCTCTATTGCCGGGATGCTGTTCAGCGCCTTCAGCAGCATGGACGAGAAGTGGAGTTTTACTCCTATTCTGGAGCAGGGCACCTCTTGGAGCCTCCATACCTGCCCCTGTGCCAGGTTTCGATCCACAGAATGCTTGGGATGTTTGTGCTATGGGGAGGGCAGTGGAGGGAGCACGCTAAAGCCCAAGAAGATGCATGGCGCAGGATACAGGCCTTTTTCTGGCGACATTTGATGAACTCTGACGTTCCTAAGAGCAAGTTGTAGTGGGTACTGTCACAGGTGATGGCCAGTGTTGGTATTTCAGCACTCAATGAATCTTGGAAAATCATCAAAAGTTTCCTGAACTGCCTTTCTCTAAATCTCACTGTTGTGTAGTTGTTTATTTTCATTCTCTAAATAATTTTCCATTTTTTGGTTGAATTTCAGTTGATTTCTGGCCCCAGCTTCACTGTATATTGGCACCATTTGATCTGCCTATGTGCTGTGGTCAGAGAAATACCCAGCATCCCATCACTTAGGTTGCATTCATACTGAGCTGTCTTGCTCTCAATCTGCAATCATCCCCTTTCATAAGAGGGAGTACTCTCACAGGAGGAGTTTTCCATTGAATCGTTTAGTCTTACACCTTAACTAACCTAGATATAAAAATGCACTTTCTTGCAGCAACACATTAGTACACTCACCTTTCCTCCTGATATTTTGTTTTCTCACACTTCTTGATAAAAAGTTTGCAGCAATTCTGATCTCAGCTAAGTGAAGAGGCTTTTCTCACTTAATCTGAAGTGCAGTGATAACTTTTTTCCTGATACCTCAAAAACCAGAAGTGCATCTTATCCAGGTTACACTGGTTGTATTGCCGTTGCATATAATGGTAGTTTTGACTGCACTACTCAATAAATGCAGTGTGTATGTGTGTGCACAGTTTGCTTGAAATTGTCTGAATGAAGCCTTCAACTGTCTTTGTACAGAAGTCCGCACCTCCTGTTGGTAAGAAGAGTAGCATGGTCTGCAGAATGGGATTTGCACGGTGCTCAAGATGGGGGTGATACAGGTGCTATGTACCTGCTTTTGTATGTTGAAAGTTTATCTCTGACTACTTAGTATGTGTCTTCTGCTGAAGAGATGATTTAGACAAATAGGGGTAAGATCACTTTTTTCTCCATGTTAGTAGCAAAAATTCCGCTCATTGCAGCCTGTAGAGTCAGGGTGCTTTGTATAGTTTCGCCAGGCCTACAGAGTGCAGACATTATTCAAGAACAATGTGAAAGTTGTTATTTAATTAAAGATAATAGACCTTTAGCTGCACGAGATCCTCTGCCAAGCACAATTGATAAAACTAATCAAAATTGGATGGGTAAAGCTATTCTTGTGATCTGCTTGTAATTGAAAAGTGCTTCAGATAAAACAGAGCATCAAAGAGCTAGCTGATTTTCCAGTGCATTCTTAAATTTTCCTTCTTTGCATTGGTATAACTTGTGGTTGTCCTACATAGAAAGGAGACAACCCCAAAAAGAAGAGAAAAATGTGAAGAGAAAAAGCACGTCCTTGAGTGAAACATCTCTAAACTCATCTTTAGCCTTACTGCTCAGAGCCTATGGAATTAAAATAACCTGGGTGATTCTGATCTAAGTTATATGAAGCATATATAGCTTATTATTTTAAACTAGGTGTCCCTGAAGCAGACTACAGGCTGTTTGCACACCATGAGACCTTTGGACACTTTTTAGCCTTTTCATTGTGGACTTTCTGTGTTGCAGTGCAGGTGATTTTGTTTACATAGCGGCATCCTCCTGTACTATCTACTCAGTAACCCTTCATGAAAGGTTCCAGGGATTCCTAACAGTTTGAAAACATTTAGTAAATCAAATAGTAAAAACTTTTACTATATTAGCATCTTGCTAAGAAATGTATAATTCTACTGTTTCAGAAAAAAAATAATCACTGTTCAGCACTTTTTAGTGCTCCATACATGTTATTCAGAAATGGAGTCTGAGCCAAATGTAGTATTAAGCACAAAGAAAGTGATACTTTGTTTAAGTTTGGCAAGAAGGAAGATCAGTATTTCCAATGAACTAGTTCTCTTTTCAACATTTACTGCAAAATATCCCTGCTATTTATCATTGTTCAGGACAAAAATAAGAAATGCTAAAAGTCTTGCAAATTTTTTACCATGGATAATTTTTTATTAAACCTAAAAATGTCTGAACCCAGACTCTAAATAGCACTTAGAGAAAAATAAAATGAGTTACAGTCTGTTAATTTAGGATTGTATCTTTTCCATGATTTAAGCCACTGACCTTCAAACATCTTGCATTTAGACTATAAATTTATGTTTGCATTTTAAAGTCACTTCGGTGAAAGATATGATTTTATGCTCTTCTTAACTGTTTTAAGAATTCCTTGCTATCCAAAGGGACAGTCATGGCTTTCTTCTGCTTCTTGGTCTAACTGAGAGAGAATCCTGTGGCAAAAGAAAACAAAGCACAGAAGAAGATTAAAATGCTCAGCTGGATCAAAGAAGGAAACGAGGAGTGTGCATGTGGTTATCAGAAGCAAGGGTGAATGATACTATGCCTTTCAGGGTCAGTGTGGCCTTATGCCAAGCCAAGATAATTGAGTAACTAGCAGAGTTTTTAGTTATGTTCAAGTTCAAAATTCAAGTGTTGAGCAGGGGCTTAGCAATTGCACATTGACATTGTGCAGAATTTGAGAATGACTGTATGAGCCAGACTCAGTGCCTCTGGCTGCTGAGCAGTCAGCTGTTCCCTGCCAGGCACTGAGTGTGACACTTGTACTGATCTACTGTGCTGGTCCTTAGTGCTACTGGCAGAATACTGCTCGTACTAGATTTAAATCTGCAAACTGGCTGTTTGTTTCTAACTGACTCTTAGAAAGGTGTTAGAAAGATAAATTGCCTTGGTAAGGTTTAGGGCTCGACATGCTTCAATGACCCCAGCTCCAGGGGGAGGTTAATAAAAGTTGTTGAGAAGGATGTGGACACAAAGAATGTAGAATCTAGGGGTCACAAGGACATCTGGCAGAACTCTCATGATAAGGAAGAAACTTACAAAGATAACTGAGCAACTGAAATCAGCTCTGACTGGGTAAAAGGTAATTCCAGCACTGGGAGAAGTTAGTTTTCTTATTAGTATTCTATGTAACTCGTAGCCAATGAACACTTATGCCTTTTTTTTTTCACTAAAATATATACATAGTGAAAAGTTTTTACAGTCATTGTGCTGGCTTTGTGGGTTTGCCACCCAGCACCCCTTTCTGTGCAGAACTGTAAATAAATCACACTCTGTGTGTCACTCTGTGTGTCACTCTGTGTGTGTGGCTTCTTGCACACCAGGTGAAAGAACCCTTCTTAGGACAACAGTTTTGGTGACCCAGATGGGACAGCCATAAAGCCCTGTTTAGGTCATCTTGCTGCCCCCAGCAAAGGAGAATGAGATCATACAGAACTCCAATGTGCACCAACCAGTTTGACTGGGGACCCCTCTGAATCCCCTTCAGTGTTGGGGCAATGAGCAGCTCAAAGGTGCAATGTTCCAGAGCAAGGGCAGAATAGAGGGAAATTCTTGGACTGGTGAGTATCACCATTTGTTTTTTTGGTAACCGATCAGTGGGATTGGTACTGGGAAAATTGCAAGCCTTGTGTAAATCAAATGAGAAGAATTCATAACAGTGGCTATTGTTGTACACACAAAACTGTGATGGGAGAGAGTGGCTCTCCTTTTTGCCAACAGGGCGTGGGAGCAGAATGTAATAAGCAATTTGTATTGGAGGTCCAGACTTAAGGATACAGGAATTGGCAAACCAGTCTTCTTTGACCACGCAGAGCCAGGGTTGCCAGGCTGAAGCAGAGAAATCAGTCTTTAAAAGATGTATTTGCTACGAACTTGATTATTTTTGTAATGGAGTCCTGTTTCAGATTTCTAGGAGTCGTAGATCAAGTTCTACTTCAACAGGCAAGGTGCTCTCTAGCAGCCTCCATGAGTTCATACTCTGGCATTTGCCTAATTGCTCCTAAATTCTACATTTTACTGAAAAGCAATAAATGCAAGGATACTCAGAAACTGAGGAGGAGAAAATAGGGCTTGCTCATGTACAGTGATCATGAGTGGTTAGAAAATCATACAGTAATTTATAGTAATTATGCAGTGATCAGTAAAGAAAGCAAACATGAGCAAAGCAGAAGAGATTTTCCTCAGATACACAATCATTTCCTTCTTGTGTGGATTAGGAGTTTTTCCTTATCTAGATTTAACATACCATGAGTGAGTGCTCATGTGTCTTTGAATGTAACCTCAAAAAGTGCAGCAGATTGTGACTGTGAAAAGAGGAAATTATCATCTGTTTCTAATCTGAACACAGTCATATATTATTCATCAGTTGTCCCAGGGATTTAATCTGTATGTTGTTCTTTCCACGGTAATGTACTTGATGCTGATATTCTTGGAGGCAGGAATTCCTAAGGTAGGTATGTACAGGAGGAATAATCTTTTTCAGTTTTGGGCATCAAAATGTGTTAGGAGCTGCTGAACAGTACAGAGATCAGGTAGTATTTAAAAGTCAGGAGTGAGCCCTAGGTCTTCCCATGCAGCACCGTAGCCTTGCTGCACTTTGTTGGACTCTCAGTTGGACTGTTGTCCATAGTCTCCTTTCCTCCAATATAGGCAAATGCAATTAAAAAGAAATCTTTATGGTGTGTCTGTCAAACTGTATCTGGCTGCCACGTTATGGTGAATATTCATATTGCTGTTTGTAGTATGAGGTAGGTAAATGCTGACTGTAAAGCCATCCAAAGCCTTTCATTATTCTGACAACCATCATAACCTAACTGATTTTATTCTGTAGGATGGATTATAATTCAGGAAGACAATTACCTGCTACCCTTCTCGGTAAGTTCAGGATGAAGGTTAAAATCCTGGTTGTCTGTCCAGACTTATAAACAAACCTATGAAACAGACTGTGCTGGAATGTGTATCGGTGATTGATTATTATGACAGTGTCCAAGGCTTTAAATAAGAAAGGTCAGGTATGTCAGATTTCTGCTGAATAACTGATCATCCTTTATACAGTAATTTGTATATAGAGTCATGATGGCTGGTAAACACTTCAGCTGTTCTGGTGGGAAACTACTTCATTCAGTTTGTGGGTTATCTTGCATCTGCAGGTAGGAAAAACAGACCTTGACACATGGGTCACCTAATCAAGCCACTTGACACCAGCTAAGGCAGTATCGAAAAAAATGAATACAT